GGCAGCGCCTTCGCCTCTGAGGCCGTCTCGCCTCGCCAGCGGTGTCCCGGGTGGGTGTCGGGGGTGAGGCTCTGTCAGCTGCTCTGCTCGGTGGTCCCTGGGGAAGGGGGCACTGGCTGTGGGGTTTTCAGGCAGTTTTAACCAGCCTCGCACGGTGTGATGGCTTTCCGCTTGGAAAGAAACGTCCCTTTTCCCGTTCCAGTTCTTCAGAGCGCTGAAAAATGTCAGGTTTTCTTGAGAACTTGAGGTGCTCGGAGTGTGTTGACTGGGGAGAGAAACGAAACACGATCGCTTCTGTTGCTGCGGGAGTGCTGGTACGTGCAACTTCTCTTGCGCTGCTTTCGGGCTGCTTAGATGTAGTCAGCTGCCGACGAGCTAAAAATGGTGAGCTGTTTGGGAGGAAAAGGAAGAGCTGTGATAAGGTGTCCTTGTATGTAGCGGCAGAATTAACGACAAAATCTGTTCCGGGTGCTTGCATCCACGTGTTACTCTCGTTTCACAGCTTCTACCCGTGTGATGACCATTGGGAGTAGGTAAATCTTTGGCTTTGCATTTAACCTTGTTCCTAAGCTGATAGTTAACGCTAGCAGTTGACTGTGGGTTGGAGACTGTGGGAATGATTTTATATATTAACATTTCTTTTTCTAGAGTAATCTTATATATTGTTAAAAGCTCTGTGTCTGTGTTTTAAGCTATTGGGCTCTTCTTTTCTATAAGTTTTTTACAGGTTGGTGGATAATCATAGATGCAGCTGTAAAATACCCTAAAGTGGAAGACTTCAACCATTCATACCATGCTTGTGGGGTTATAGCCACTATTGCATTCCTAATGTAAGTGTAATTTCTTGATCAGAGTACACACTAACAGTAAAGTTACTATCTGAGTATCTTTCTTATCTTTGTTGATATTTAAAGTAAGGAATCATTTTTAAAAAATTACACGTGTAGTACAGGTTCAAGTCTTATTACTCTTTGGAGAAAAGCTTTTTAAGTTTTAGCCTTGGCCTTCCTTAAAAAAAATAAAATACCAAAACCCACAACATCATCCTTTTTTATACAGGTTTCTGAGAAGTTTCTCCTGTTGGTTTGTAAACACTTACCTCTTGCTTTACCTATATTTACCCAGTTTTATCCTGTTTTGCTCATACAGGATCAACGCAGTGTCTAATGGACAAGTGCGGGGTGACAGTTACAGCGAAGGCTGTCTGGGACAAACAGGTACGGTGGTGCAGGCTGTTGTGTAGCCACAGATCTGGGAAGCCTTTAAGTCTTGGAGGAGCTGTAAGAGCTGCACCAGTGCAGGGGTGGCAGCTGCGCAGCTCTGGTGTGTGACAGAAGGGGCTCTGAAAGGTGCTGGAAGCGACACAAGTCTGTACTTGGACGCAGGCACAAAACATCCCCCTCTCTTTTCAAGGTGCTCGGATCTGGCTGTTCATTGGTTTTATGATGGCTTTTGGATCTCTGATTGCTTCCATGTGGATCCTTTTTGGGGGTTACGTTGTTAAAGGTAAGATACAGCATGGAGTGGGACCTGGTCCATTTTTGAACGTTTAAAGTGTTTTAAATGACCCTGCCCTGTAAGGGGTCCCTCTAACCCAGCTCCTTCCCACCGCTTCACAGGGCGTAGACTCCGAATGTTCGTGTCTAAATGGCACTGGTTGTCTCTGCTCACATGGTGCGATGTAGTGTTTCTGGAATGTCAAGAGATGGGATATGCCTGCAAATGACTTCCAAAAAGTTTATGGAGATGTTTTTTCTTTTGTTAGAAAAACCAGTAGTGTACCCAGGAATAGCTGTGTTTTTCCAGAATGCGTTCATCTTTTTTGGGTAAGAGTGTCTTCCTTTGTTTCTTCTCTAATTCATTTTTAATTATAAAAGCTGAAACTTACTGTAATCTCTTAATCTCTTTTTTTTTTTCCTTAAGTCCTGTTTTGTAACTAGACTTGTGTGAATACACTGTTGGTAAAGGCAGCAGATCTCTGGGATCTGCCTGCGTAGGCTTTATTGCAGGGCCAGGAACTGGAGTTACAAATACAACTTGCTCCCTGAAATCACGTCTTTAAAACAGTAGCTCTTGATTTGCTCCGTGGTATACTCATGTCCCTTTATTCTGTTTTAAACAGAGGCCTGGTCTTCAAATTTGGTCGCACGGAAGATTTGTGGCAATGAACGCGCCCCTGGAAGTGCATTGGCCACGTTGGTTTTTTAAGGGCACACTCCCCAACTTTTGTAAAACCATTTTGTAAACGGTGACCTTCAGTTGTGTCTAAAGATGAATCAAGGAAAACTTAAATCATAGCACTCAAAATTCCGGTCCTATTCTGTTTAGTTTTTTTACTCTTGTATGTTGATTTAAATGTTGTATGTCTTTGACAATGTAAAATGGCAACAAGTAACGATGGCAGCCACTTTTATGATACGACGTTTGCTACAAGTAAATAGTATAGTGGAAAATGGATGTATTTAACCAGCTGTTTCTATGACGTTATTTACAATCCAAGACTTACTAAAAATGCTTTAAAACAACTTTTTAACATATATTTATTAAATATTTACTGTATCTGGACAATATAACCATTTCTTCAATTTCAAAACTTACTGGTGTCTGCCTTTTCTTGCATAATTTAGAACTGCGCTGCTTCGGGATCTTTGTTTTCCCTTCCCTGAATGTTTAGTTTATCCTGTGGCGATAACGAGGTCGTCTCTGGTCAGTAACAACTTACTGTTGCTGTGGATGACGTAGAGGCCCAAGTGCAAATTACGTAGTGGCTCTAGATGGAAGTAGCTCATCCCCAAAGCTTGCTGTCAGCTCTCTTCTACCTACTGTGGAAACAAGGGCAGAGTAGGCTTCAGGTCAGAGTTCCCTTGGGCAAAGAGCGCTCCTCAGACCAGGGACAGTCACTGCCAGGGAGAATTTTGATCCTGGATCTGCCCTGTCCTCTGCACTCACCGAGGCTACTTGCTCACGAAATCAGTGATAAAAGACGTGGGGAAAAGGGAGGGCATAAAGTACTATTTCTAGCCCTCCTGCTAGAAAACAGCCGTTTGTGTGGCAGAAGTTATGTTTGGTTGGTTGCTGGAAAGTTTCATTGCTTGAAACCTGTCTCACAGTTCTTTATCTGCAGCGATCTACTTTGCTTCATCCCTCATGAAGGAATTGAGGCCAGCGTGCAGTACCGCAGTCATCATCAAAGAACTCCTGTCTTGTCTCCAATGTGATGCTTTTCCTCATTACTTCATCTTTAAGCAAGTGTGCTGAATAAATAAAAACAATCCAATTTTGGCTTTTTTTATTAGGTATTTCTGAAAGAGTTTTTCTACGTCAACTAGTTTGAAACAAACAAGAAACGCTGAGGATCACAATCCAGGTAAAACCAAGGGCTCACTTGCACAGAGTCAGCCCGATCAGGCCCTCGCACATGCACCAAAGTGTCTTGGAGAAAACCAGCTCAGCGTAAGGCACGTGGGAAATGGGGGCTCAGCCTTGGTACCGAGGACTGTTCCCCCAGTCTCTCCAGTTGTCCCCACCTTGAGGGCAGCCAGAGCCTTCTGGGCAGCTGCCCCCGTGGTGGCGCAGACTGTCACCGCGCAGACAGGCTGTTCTGAGGTTTGCTGCCAAATCTCAAATATGAGTAAATACCATTTCAGGGGCACTGTCCACAAGCAGAACAATTCAGCTTCTTGCCATTTGAGCTTCCAAAGAGCTAGCCCGAGCCAAGTCATTGCAGATTTTCATTTACACAGCCAGATAACTCTTGAAGAGTTCAATCTGGCAAGATGTGGAGTTCTGGCCCTGATCCAGCTCACTCATCAAATCCTTGCTTAACAAGGCCTTCAACAGAATTAATTCAGCTTAAAAACAGGTACTTTAAAGCTTTGCTAGTTAAGAATGAGTATGTACTCCTTGAAAAAATTATACTTCAAAATACATATTTTGACTTTTAAACTTGGGAGCTAAAAATAGTTTAAAGTTTCCAAGCATTTTGACTGATAAGCCATTACAGCAACAAATGTACACGGCCTACAAAAAATATTTAAGGTGAGACCAACAAAGCAGAAAAGCTAAATACATTGTAAGTTTGCATCTGTAAATTTACACCCTGTATCTTTCAAGAGTAACTACAACAGTTTATTACTAATTTTTTGTGTGTCCAGTGGGTTGGCTTTTTCAAGCCTGAGAATTGACACTTAAGGGCCCTTTCAACCCGTCGTAGCTGTTCATTTTCTCTAGTGGCAAAGAGGAAAATCTTATCTTGGTCAAATCTGTCATCTGGGTTCCTCCATTCAAAAGCCAACAGCCAAACGGGGAAACTGTGAAGACAAACATTCTTGTATAAGAACATTTTACGCACCAAATCGCCATACAAAAAAGGCAATGGAAAACCTTATTAGAAGCTTATTTTTGACCATTTCTCTTTCCTGTAATTCAGATACAGCATCATGTTCAGCACCTAAAGGTGCCCAAGGCCTGTGTTTGTGCATCAGACTGAGTCACAGCCACGCTGCACCCATGAAGGCAGCTCGGTCTGGTTTCATAAAAAGCACCTTCCACTCACTGGCTTCTAAAAACGCCTCTTAGATGCCGCTCAGGTCTCCTCGGGGACTGTGTACGAAGCACAGCGGCCAGGGCTGTCAGTCCCAGAGGATGTCTGAGCACCTGAGATGACTTGTTACAAAACAAGGTGGTTTCAGGCTCAGCCCTGGGACCACCAGCGGCTCTGACAATCCCGGCTGGAGACTACGCGCATCTGTAATGTTCAGGCTCTGAAGCAACTGTGGGAACAGCTCAGCCATTTCAAACAGGGCATCCAAAACACACTGTGAAATGGAATTATCCCTTTCTTTTTCTTTTAAATTCAAATACCTAGAGTTCTTCACCAAGGTCAACAGCATGCTATATATACTCCCACGCAGGTAATTTTACATTGAAACTTACCTCCCAACAAAACTGGTCATCAAAGTGCTTTGATACAGGGATGGTCTTAAACAGTTTAAGGTTTAAGATTAAACCTGTTTGTAAAAACACATATAAACATATACATCAGGGAAAGGAGAAGATTGTGTGTAACTGGAGGTTTCTTAGGAACATGCATCCAAATGTAACGTAGATCAAAATACAAATTCAGAACTAAATACTTCAGGAGAGCCCCTTGGCTCAAGTTGTCTTCAAATACAAAGAGAGAAGCTTGCCAGCATCGAGCCTTCTGTTACTAAAAATTAATTACTCTAGGTAAAACCCCATTAAACAGCCTGCCAGACTCTAAAAATACATCAAAAATTATTAACTTCTTGCATGAAAAATGCCTGTGATTTTAAAGTGATCGGGTTTGTCAGCACTGTTGGCTTGGGATTTCAGATGGAAACATCTAGATTTTTAAACAATTGGTTAAATACCAAATGAATTATTATTTTAGCCAAATGTTTTTTAAAAATCTGCTTGATTAGCCCAACTTCTTAATTATTCTTAAGGTAATGCCAAGGTTTCAGATCAGTTAAAGCACAAAAAAAAATCATTTCAGAGTATATTTCGCAGCAATTTTCATCTGCCATTTCTATTCTACTCAAGACAGAATTAGCAGCTATAGAAAACCAGCAGCTGCCACAAACCAGAATGTCACATGGGAAACACGTGAGCTCTGATGATCCCGAACCACGAGTGATCAAAGGCCTAGTGCTTGGCTGATGCCAGCGAGCTTCTGACGTTCATGAAACTTTGCAGATTCTTACCAACTGGCCTAAAAAGTGACAAGCTCTAGGTAGCATTTTGCTGTCACTAAGACAATACCCAAACGTAAAAATATTTTCATTCTCACACATCTCCTGTCTGAAATTTGAAGGCAGCTGTTAAGCATCTGTTAAAATAAACTTCACCAATGAAAGAATGGTGCTACTAGGTCATTCATGTTGAATACATCTCTTCTTCAAAAGGCTGGCTTTGAAGAGTCCCTGGCATTCATTTTTCCCACGGCTTCTAGAAATAATTTGCCCAAAGAAACACACGCCAGAGCCCCAGTTAAACCGGCCTCGTCCTGCAAAGGGTTGCACTGGCACGACAGCAGTTGCAGTAAGATGACCTACCCCTTGCCCCGAGGAAATGAGGAAGGTGTTACTGACCTGTAATAAAACCTGTTATCAAGGCAACACTGATGGTCAGGCAGAAGGTACCAACTTCAATTATGACCAAATAACTCAGTCTGAAAAGCAAAAGTGATTCACCTTTTACAGCTGCTGAATTCAGCGTGAAGGCTGTGAATGACTCTCTATATACACAACATTCTACATCAAAACCTCTCATAAAAATCCAGTAAAATCTCTCTGCAGCTGCAGTTAGTTGTTTTAAGACGTCCTATCGGAAGCCTAATAGATACTTCAGAGGACATATTTTGCCCTTAGAAACCATCATTGTGGTACTAAAACTATATTAAATGTATTTGTTTCAATAAGTACATGAGAAGAAGCATAAGGCCCTTATGCTGCACTGTGATTCATTCCTGCATAAACTGAGAAAACCAGAGAACTTCTTGTACGACACGACATGAGCTTGATTTGCAAAAACGAGATGCCAGTGCCAGATCAAAACAACCGAAGGAGAATATCCTTAACTGAGCCCTTTAGCTTTTGCAGGGTATCTCCCCAAGTATATTTTCCAGTTCAGTGTCCAGACTGGCTTTATTCCAAACTGGCATTCTTGCCCCTGACTCAGAGTTAAAGTCTCACTCGAAAAGAAAAGCTGATTTCTGCCCCCACTCTGTATTAGCATTCAAAGCTCCCCAAAACACATCACAAAAGCCAAAATGAATCTTGGAAGGAAGCACACCCCCAGCCTTCATCTCCTGTATCTGCTGTATTTAATGTCAAATACGAAAAGAGACAGAAAACAGGACCAAAAGCTAATATTAAAGTTCGGATCCAAAGTCAGCTCAACTCTGGAAGTCTTTTTCACTGACTTTTTTGGACTTCAGAGATTATTTTAGGTTATCTGGTATAAAACAATTTATGTGTGACGATGTTCAGGCTTTCTGTATGTATGAGAACTCTTCTCAGAGCCCACTACAATAATGATTACCTAAGCTTATTACTTAATTGCAAGAATTTATGTACCTTGGTAAATCAGTCCAGTTTTTCATTACTAAAAGAACGACCTGGGCAAGAGCTCCAAGCACACCAGGCAAGCCAAAAGTGAAATGAGTTCCAGCGGTATCACGAATCTTGAAGGTAGCATTCAAGCATCTCTGGGAAGAAGAAAAGGTTTCAGTGATACACCGAAATGCAAGTTGATAATAGCACATTGTCTGTCTCAGACCTAGAAATGAACTTTGGTCTCGCAAGTCGCAATCCTGCGCTTTGCTCCAAAGACATCACATTTCCTAGCTTTAACCTCTTTGACAGAGAGGTTTCCCTTGAGGTATCCTACATTGGAAAAGAAGTTTATACAGCTTATAAAAAAAAACAATTCCAGGTTTTGAGTATTACCTGTACACAGCAAGATCCTAATATGGTTACCACAGCAGCAAGCAGACCCAAAACCATTGCAATCCAAGGATACTCGATACTGTGTGCTGCGTAACCGACAGCTACCCCGCCAGCTAGTACTGCACTGCGGATATGAGCCTGTAAAATAAAACAATAAAAACACGCAGTGAGAATTCAGTCATCCCTTACAGCAGCCCAGTACCATAGATTGCCAGTCTCACGCAAGTGCGAACTCGTTAGCGTGAATTTGGGCCTCTGTATACCATAAATTACAATCTGAGAACATAATTTCTAAGTTACTGTTCTGCTTGGGAGGCTGTTGATGACCGTCAGGCTGAAAACCTGGACTGGTTTTTACTTAATAGCTATTATAGTTTCAGTCTATTACTGAGAAGAACAGAAAAATGTCTTCTCCATCCAGTGATTTTCTCTCATGTCTTACCATTCTGAATTTTCCATCCTCTGTGATCAGAGCAGACAACACGAAGGCAGTTACAGCACTCGCTGCAATGGCAAAGTAGGTGTTGAAGATTGCTTTGCTCTTGTCGTTCACAGCTAGCACAGAATTGAAGCTCGGCCAGAATACCCAGAGAAAGAGAGTACCTTGGAGACAAAGACAAGCAGCTCTCATTGCCTGCTCTAAACCACGGCGAATCTATCACTGGCTGTCTCCGAAGGGCTCCAGCCCACATTTTGTATTCCCTATAATTCCCACTTTGTAAACAAAGGATAACAATTCACAACACAGACAGCCCTGAGAGCTACCTGCTAAGTAAGTCCACTTTGGAATGTCTTTTACCTTGGCTGCCAGTACAACTGTCTTGCCTCCTGACAGGGTTTGAAGAGAAAAAGAGGATGAACTGGATCATAAGAACAGAATCCTCTGTACCTCTGTCTACTAGGATTACCCCAGAGGAGGGCTAAAGACCGATAGCTGAGGTGATCATGCTTCACCAACTCAGCTATACACAGCTTATCCTCCTCCTTATTTGTGAAAGAGTTACCTGGCAAATAGCTACTCCATGATATATGGGTCCAAAAGAACAATTCACTCTCCTCCTGTAAGATCACTGCAATGTCCCACTTCCATGACCACAGAGGCTTCGCTAACAATAGGAATGAAAACAGGTTCTTCTGCTTTTATGACCTGGGCCCTAATAGTCAGCATTCAGGAATCTCAGCCTCTCTAAAACAAGCTCACTGCTGGGCAGGACACATCTTCTCCTGTGTGCATATGGATACATATGCATAGACCAAATTCCAACCAGCAGAGGGAAGTAGGTGGCCTCACACGAAGTCAAGCTGGACCACACTCGGCAATCTGTGCCGCTGCTCCTGGCACTGCGCGTAGCTCTAAGAGCACAGACAACACCACAATCAAGCAACAGTTTATTTTGCCTTGCCCAGTCATTATTTTTTGCTGTCCAGTCAACTTCCATAGCTCATGTTGTCTTCTCCATGCCACAGAGGTACCAGACCCTCGTGCAATTCACCTGACAGGGAAATTTGAGGTATTCCTGTCCAAGTCAATTCAGAAGTGGCACAGGCATTGCCACTATAAAGCACAACGGTGAAATCCAGCTTCCAGCAACCCTGGCAGCTACTGCTTTTGTACAAGCTTATCTTGGCTCCTTGAAATCCAATTTCCATTGCTAATTTTCACCCTAGGTGATAACTGTGCCTCTCGGAGAAAAGAGGCCATTTGGCAATTCAAAACCTATGGCAGCAGCAAGGACTGGTGGAATGATCCGTACCACAACAATCTTATTCCCATGATTAGGTAGTTAGTCAGTCATCAAAAAAAAAAAAAAAATTAAGAATCTACTAATGCCACTGAAATATTCTTATGAGCATCTGCTCAGCTGTGGAAATAAAACAGTCACAGTATGAGTCCAAATATGGGTGACGACCTCAGCACCCTTCACACAGCCCTCGGAAGCAGGAAAAAGGAACTATGAGTACGTTACCTCAGGATTATTCAAGACATGTCAATATAATTACTCCAAATAGCAAGCACTTGGTTGTAGCAAGCTGCACTAAAACTATAATGAAGGCTTAACAGCATCTTGATGAGTCAGATTAAAATACCGATCTCCTCGAATTGTCCAGCAAAGCAAGAACTCCAGGGACTCAAGAGAGTAGCAT